TCTGTGTTAAGACTGTTTTGCCTTTCATTCATTCAATTATCTCTCTCTTCATTTAGTATTCATTTATTAAGCACCTACTACTAGCCAAACACAAGACTCTGGAGATAAATAGATAACCAAGACCTGACTAATGTCCTTGAAAAACCTCTAGTCTATTGGGGAACAGAGTCAGAAAAACAGATAATGCAATGTAATATAGTATCTCTCTTCCACAGGAAAATTTATGCATCAGATTAACTCCCCATTTGATATCATTTCTATGTGTCAGTACAAATAGAATTAAGAGTAATAGAAACTAAATAATAATAAACATGAATTATTCAGGTAAGGCTATGCATACAGTACATAAAATTCAGAATCCACAGAAGAGAAAGACTTTGCCTTTCCAGAACAGCTAGTTGCTTAGTGATAGATTAGGACTGCTATAGTAGTCTTCCCTCCATTGCTTCCCAAAGTCAATTTCAAATTAATATTCTAACTTATATTAGAGATGAGACCTTAAAACCTGGTTCCAGCTGTAGCCAGAGTGTGACATCCTTTAGCCGAAATGCTTTAAGATCAAAAGAATTCTTTTGTCTAAACAGAAATCATTTTCAGCAACCATCGTAAAAATCTTGTGACATTCTCTTATTCCAAATGCCCTCAAGATTCATCTCTGTAATGTTCAGATCAGAGCTTTGGAATTTATTATCAGGTTATTTTACAGACACAAACTTGGGTGTTGCCGTTTTCCTGGATGTTCCACAAGGGTACGTCTTTTTAGCCCCTTGGTTTATGTGTGCATCTCAGCACTTAGCATAGAGACAGTATTGTATGGTGGCAATGACTAGATTTAGGAACAGATTTGAGGCACTGTTATGCATTTTATTTGACTTGTGCAACTTAGTTAAGTTCCATAAGCCTCGATTTTTGAATCTATAGTGTAGCTTAATAATACCTGCCTATACCTGTCAAGTGATGGAATTCACTTCATTTCCCTAACACTCCCAGCCTGTACTCCAGACCAGACACCACAGGAGGTGCATGTAGTCACTGCCCTTGGAGTGTTCTAGGTTTGGTGCAGGAACAGACTTGTAGATAAATAATTTAAAATGCCATTCAGTAAGTGCTATGTCAGACAGCTGTTGTGAAGGTCAGATATAATAATATAGGTGAAAACACCTTGCAAGGTATAAAGTTCTATTCAAATGGGAGCTATTATCATCCCAAAACTCAACTCTCCTTTGTCATCAATCCCAATCTCATGTTTTATTCAAGGTTTAAATCAAGCTGGATTCCTCCACAATGTCTTCCTGGCCATTTCAGCTCACAGGCACAAAACAACTGAGATTTTTATTTCTTTTTTTCTCCCCACCCCCCTCTCTTCATTGAATTGTAATCTGGGCTTCATAGTGATTGCTGGAAAAAATTATTTCCTGTTTTAAAAATTTTAAAAATCCTCTAACCTTAGTTGAAGCACGTCAACTAAAGCCTAGAACTGAAATACAAAACAAGGAGTAGTTTAGTTTTGAACTTTGACTCCAGGTTACTGAATTATAGATCATAAGAAATAGTTAATTTGAGAAAGAAAACTATGTCATGATCCAACAAAATGCCTCTGCTTGGCACATGCTCCTACATTATATCCTCTGTTAGATGCTTTCTCTTTATGAAGACTTAGAAGAAGTAGCAGCTGTACTAGAATCATTAGCCACTTTAAAAACCCACCCTGAATGGACATGTAACATTTTGAAAAGGTTTGTGTTTCTGTTAAACCAAAGAGAAGTTAAAATAGGGACTGGTGGTTTTCCTTCCACAAGGATTTTATCAGGGACTAAATGCCTACTAAGAGGTGAGTGCTGGGGGAACTATCATAGAAGCATGCATCCACTGCTCCCTCCCCAGCTACTTAAAAGAGAGGGGAAAGTCTGTCTTCTAGGGTTGTAGGGTTTCATGAGCTTAATTTAAGCATATGGAATTAGCTTCTTTGCCACATATGCAATACACATATTAATTGGATTTTGTTTATCCATGTTATTTAAGATTCCCCAGGCTTTAAGCCTTCATTAAATTCCACTTTATTTGCAAATCCTTCCTTGAAACTTCTTCCCCAGTGAGCAACCTTTTCTCCAAATTCCACCAATACCAACAAGAAAAGCCTAATGGACGGAGACAAAATGTCTTTTCTTTCATATCAGTTTTTCTTCTTTCACAACAGTTTTCATATCAGTTTATTCCTTTCCATCTTCATTTTTGTCACACCTGTTAGCATCTTAACACTGTATCCCTGCACTGTGAAAACAAGCTCTTAAGTCTCCTCTGGATACTACTATTTTACTTATGTCAATCTCTTTTTTTCCTCAGTCTGGAGGACTAATTAACTTAATAAATAAATATTAATTAAGCCTTAACATTTTCCTGACATAAGAAGGTCAATGGATAAAGCTGGGGTGAGGGTTAAAAGATTGATTTTAATCTTTTATTGATTTGAATCATGCAGAATGATTCCTGCATTCAGTTGTTTTTGTTGAGCTCAAGAAAGAATATCAAATATGTAAAATATTAAATAACAACATAGAATTCCTACAGTTGAAGCATAACAGAAAAGAAGCCATGAGTATTTCTTTATATATTCATTCATTTATTGATCAAGCATTAGACCATCTCTCTGGTCTAATATATTAGATCACTTATATGTTCTGGACACTAATAAGAAGCCTGAGTTTAGTTACTGAGTTATTCAGATAGCAAGAAATGAGAAGAAAGATTCTTGTAGGTAGTGGGTGGCCAGGAAGAATTTTTATAGTAGATAAAAAAGTCCAAGCTCTACCTTCTGATGCCTTTAACTTCTTACTCCATCCCCACTCAAACTGCACTACTGCTTAACTCTAGAAAAATTCCTTATGCATTCCTAAACTTCTGTCATTGCTATTCTTCCTGGAGGCCAACACCCAGCATTCTTTTTGTATTTTGCTGTAATCTACCAATTATTCAAGGCATAGTTGAAATATGTCTCCCATAAGCAGTCAGCATTCCCTGGCCATTCCCTCCCCTCTTGCTAGAAATGGTTTCTTCCTCTTGTGAAGTTTTGAATCTCTTGTGATCTGCACCCTATAGAAACTCAATGAACTGACTGCTTTTTCCACCATCCCTCACTCTCCTCATCCTTAGCACCCTTCCATCTGCCCATCTGCTTCCTCATTTCAAGGGCCTAGGGAAAAGATAAACAACTTCTTTTTATGACAATATTATGAGTAACATATTGTTAGCCTTCTTCTGTATGTATCTTCTCTCTTGAATTCAATTTTACTCTCTTTGACGGAAATCTTTTATAACAAGAACTCTCAGCCATAATATCAAAAAGCATTAATGAATAAAATCATTTGAGAAGGTATCACATATCATCAGTTATAGATATCAGTTAAAATAACAAAATTTTCAAAATGGTGCAGATTAAGATTATGACTGCAATTATACCATTCATATTTACTGATAGTCCAAATAAGCTAGAGAGAAAATGAGAGAGTTAGAACTATCAGGGTAGGAATTTAGTATTCTATGTGTATGACAATTGTCTTTTATTGGATGACAGCGTGGGGGCAAAAAAGCTGAAAAGTGCCATATAATTTTAATTCATATGGTTGTAAGTTCCTTCATCATTAAGGCATCCATTTATGTACTATTTATGACAAATATAGGGCTCAATCAACCTGTGGTATTTGAGTTAACAACCAAAGAGAGAAATTTAGAGTGCTTTCTTAAGACTGCAAAATATATGATCAAGAAATACAGAGGTATAGGATAACAGGGATGATAAATCAAATGACTATCTACTTAAAAACACATATCATCACCAGGTAGCATTTGAGGCTTCTTTTCCATGGAATAAGAACATGCTTCAAAAAGCAAATATAGACAGTGTACTATCACGGAAAATGGAATTGGAAATTATGATATGGTATCAGTTCCACTCTACCGTTTTCTAACTGCTTAACTTTGGGCAAATTACCTAATCTCATTGAGCTTCAGTTTTCTCATTTTTGAAAGGGGAATAAAGATATTGATCCTCTCTATCTTTGACAATCAGAGTGTTCCTAAAAGTGCATTATAAAGCACTATGTAAAAAGAAGGTAGTATTGCTTTGATTATCATGTCTGTATTCAGTAATGTAGTCCTTGACTTCATTTCCATTTACTCAAGCATTTTTCTCTATACATACACCTCTAATGCATACATCATCATGGCCATTTAAGTTGTTTCTATCAGCGAGATAGCTATTTACATCCATTTATGCTGTAACAGGAAAAATTTCTATAGATGATTCTGCCATATTCTTATACATTATAGTGTATTTCTCAGTGTAATTGTCAAAATAAAGACATCAATTTTTAGGCAAGGTCTAGAAAATAAATTTTCCACCTAATTTATAATGTCTGGATATAAACAATATCAAGTTCCTAGGTATCTTTTAAAAACTGTATTCCCATACTTCATAATTCAAAACAAATCACTAAAAGCAAAATATGATAAAAAAAGTTTAATAAAATGAGCAGAAAATGGAACCGCAATTGTAAATTTTCTGTTTAAATATTCTTAATTCATGAAATTCTCTTACCTAATATTTTCTGATGTCATTCCACAGTCATGGTTGCTGATGATGTTACAAGTTATTTTTAAAATATTTTTTATATTAGGAAGCTCAAAATCATACTATAGTTCTCTTCTGCCTACCCCTCAGCCCAAAATCACAAACAAGAGTCGTCAGTAATTAAGATAACTTTTTCATAAAAAGAATTTGTTAATTTTCAGAGGATATATTTGATTGTTCTGATGCTCTGAAACTCATGCATCTTATAAGGTACTAATAAACCATGAAACAAACAAAAAAAAGAATAAGACCTTAGTTTTTTTCTCTTCAGTGAAATACACTGAGAATTTTAATTGCCTTATATGCTATTAATACAACCTAAAACAAGTTCTAAAAAAAAATCACATAGATCATTCAACGGCCATTTAAAATAACTGCAAAAATTCTGAATTCCATAGACTTTTTTTGATGGTCGAACTCCCTCTATATTAACATTTGCTCCCTAACGATGGTATATCATGGCAGAATGCTCTAATTCCTGCCAGTTTGGGCAGATGAAATGAGGAGAGGTCATTGAACTGACATTCAGAGACAGTTTGAAATGAATAAATTATTTATGTCCCACCTAGAAAAGAAAAAAAAAGGGAGAATAAACTTGTGAGTATACAGATATAAGGTGTCATTTTGGCAGACGCAAAATGTAAACATAAAACAAACAAACCAAAAGCCTAGCCCTCAAATAACATTGAAATGCTGCGCTTTTTTTTTTTCAGAAACAAAGAGCAACTGTCATAAACGATACTACAATAGATTAATTACATAGTATTATATTTTGCAAAAGTTTAATTGGTGCCTAGAAAGACCAAGGTTTGTTGTTGTTGTTATTGTTGTTGTTGTTTTGGCCAGTTTGTCCTCCTTCGCAGCTGTAGCAAACTATTTGTCCTGTCTCCTCTCCATGCCTCTTTCTTCCTCCTTCTTTTCTTTTTTTTCTCCCTCCTTTTCTAATGCTTAGAATATTCAGTGGGTGAGGTAAAGTGATATGACAGGTAAAGAAAAGTTCCTTTTCCTTTTCTTACCTCAGGCCCCTTGGACAAATGTATAATCCTGATGCTTAAAAAAAACAAAACAAAACAAAACAAAACAAAAAAACTGCAGCCTAAGTAATAATAAACAACACTGTACCTTGACTGAATGGAAGGTTTGGTGGTGAGAAATAACTCCTTACAGAGGTGCTTTGCTTAATAAAATATCCTCAAGTATATTACCATTTTGGTTCCTCTCAGAGATCATGTGAGGGGAGCAGGGGAGGTTTATTTCTTCCATCTTTTACCAATCAGCAAAGAGGTTCAAAAGTGTTAAGTAATTTGCCCAGTGTCACTCAGGGACAGACCTTGGGCTCACATTCTGGGTCCACTGCCATACTGCCTCAGTAAGCGTCATCACGGAGAAGTTTCATTAAAA